TCTCTCTCTGTCTCTCTGTCTCTCTGTCTCTCTGTCTCTCTGTCTCTCTCTCTCTCTCTCTCTCTCTCTCTCTCTCTCTCTCTCTCTCTCTGTGATACTAGCTTTGCCTTCGAAAGCCTTGCCGGTGCCCTGTAAGTTGAGCTGCACTGCAGCTATGTAAGTACTGAGCTCTTCTACTAGTGCTACACTACTATCTCTAGGAAAGGGACTGAGCAAATAGAAGTTCCACATTGAAGTACTAGCAGAGGAATCACCTAGAATAGTTCGAGACAGCCTGGAAAGGTGCAAGTCAGCCTGGATGGAGGGAGTAAAAGAAAAGGTCCACAGATGGCAGAAAAAGGTCCAGAAACCTGCTCCAGAAGAGAGGCAAGGAACTCAGACAGAATAGAACATCAGATACACCCTAAAAAAAGAAAAAACGGGCCAGACAGCAATTCGTCTAGAAGTAACGGCACCAAGTCCAACAGCACAGTCCCAAGCTCGTTACATCTCCAGCAGCCACCTGCCCATTCACCAGGTGGTCTCATACAGACCCAACTCATATGTTTCGGGAAACAGTTTTCAGAAAAAAACAAGCAACAAAACAAAAACAAAAACAAAAACAAAAACAAAAACAAAAACAAAAACAAAAAACAAAAAACAAAAAACAAAAGCAAAAAAAAAAAGCAAAAAAAAAGAAAAAAAAAGAAAAACAAACTAGCGTAGAGTCCACGACGGGTAACCCCGGAGGGCCCCCAACCCCAACCCTTATCTAGGGCCACATCTCCCTGCCCCCAGTCTTCCCAGTCTAATCCTCCTCCCACGAGCACCTGCAGCACCGACCGTCAGCTTCCCCCAGCCTTCTGTACTGCCACCCAGTCATCCCAGATCCCCGCAAACTTCCTCGAGAAGATCATCAAGCCGTTATCAAAATATTCATCTGGGAAACCCCTTTTTTGAGCTCAATCTTCAAGGTAAGCAGGAACGCCACTTCCATCCCTTTCATGCTGGTATGTACCCTTTTCCAGGTGGACTTCAATACTTCCCAGCTGGCAGTTGAACTGTCCCTGCACCGTTGACGGGCTGGAGATTGCGCTCACTGCCTCTGTGACAGCTACAACATGTGTGATGCTTACATATCTGCCAAGCAATGATCGCTATGACAGTGGCAAGAAAGAGTGTTCCTCCAATAAGTATCATGGGTAGGAACCACCGCTTGTCGAGGAGTGAGTTGTTTTTTCGAGGCAGCAGCGGCGGCAGCGGCGGCGGCGGCGGCGGCAGCGACAGCAGGCATTGACAGCATATGTTTTCACTCTCCGGAGGCCTGTAGTTATTGTTATAGTGATAAAGGACATCGGTTGGCAAGAGTTCTATTCTGGGGGAACAATTGCGGAGCGGCATTGTGTCAAAACATGGATTGCTGGTGCAATCTGTTAGATTGATGGCTGCCTGTGGACGCCATTGTTCATGATTGTTGTCATCATAACCATTGCGACCATCATCATCATCATCATAAAATCAACAACAACAACAACAACAACAACAACAACAACAACAACGACAACAACGACAACAACGACAACAACGACAACAACAAAAACAACAACAACAACAACAACAACAACAACAACAACAGCAGCAAGAGTGGCAGTAGCAACAAGTTAGAAAAGGACTGCAAAAATGCAAGGCACTGAAGTGACTGAAGGCAGCTAGTTACAGTTTTTTTTTTTTTTTTTTTTCACTCCCMCCAATTTCCTGGGAAWCACAGGTATTTTTTTTTTTTTTTTTTTTTTTTTTTTTTTTTTTAACGAGAAAGCTCAGAAAACCCAATTTCATATATCTGGGAACTGGGGAGTCTCTTACATCCTACGCCGCAGCCAATTGGATAAGGCAGGCTCACCGGCCCGATTTATCCCTTTAGCAAGGGGTTGTTAAACCACCAGTAAATGCCTCACATCGGCCGCGGGACTGTGTCAGAGGACGAAAAGAGACGCCGGCCACCGATGTCTTTTATCGACTGCGCGCTGGCGCCAACTTTTCCGGATAGGCGATGGGTTTCGTTTCAGTAAGGCTGAGGCCGTGTACTGGCGGTTTAACGCACGCGACCTTTTGGGTTTGGGGCTGCGGCTGATGAACTTAATCAAACCGCCTGTGGAGCGGCGAGGAGTTTCTTTTCAGCAAGGCTGAGGCCGTGTAGTGGCGATTTAGCACACATGACCTTTGCGGTTTGGGGCTGCAGCTGATGAACTCCATCAACGTCCTGCAGAGCAGCCCAAACCCCAAAAGTCATGGCGCCGTCCCGCGGCCATGCACTGGGTAAAGGTACTGGCGGTTTAAGAAACAGGAAGCAAATCCGAAGTTGGATTGAAGACTCAATGCAACGCATGCCATCTGACAGTGTACAGTGCATGCCTGTGGCATCGAGCACAAGCTCATCATCACCCTTGTTCACTCCATGCTCAGGTGATGTCTGAAGACGATGATAGTGAAGAGATGCGGAAGAGGTGGCATGAAGATAACAAACCATGGGCGAATCTTGAAGGCGTTTCTAGTACTGTGATTGTCAACGTGTGGGAGAGCAGCAAAGCTAAGTAGAGGAGAATGATTAGAAAGGTGATTTGCAACTGGAAGCACTTGCACTCTTAGATAGCACAAGGGGGGAAAAAAGGGAAGAGAAATGGCACTATGGGGAGCGAGCGGCTAAACGCATGGCCAGTAAGAAAAAAAAAAGAGACAAAACTTCTAGAGGAAAAGTTTTGAAACCTCCCCGCGACGAAACCATTGCATTCATTTCCCCCCAAACGGGGCACCCTTTGCCGCAGGCCCCTAAATGACTTCTGGCATCATTTTTGCACCCTGCAAAACACTTTCTCTGTTACGGACTCAGCCAGGGCTCGATCCCTGTTCCGCGGGGTACCACCCGCCAGCCTGCTATTTTTTTTTTTTTTTAGAAACAACGGCGGACGCGGCATGTTTTCAAACTCTAAAGGCACCAAAAACACGCGTCGGCAAAGAAAGCACGCTCTAACTCGAAATGAGCGATCACGGTCCAAAAGTAACCGTTGGCCATTTTCTGTTTTTTTTGTTTTCCCCTCTGACACCACGGCCGACCCCTGTAAATATGACACCCGGTCTGACACCACGGCCGTTGGTACTTCCGTTGCCTTTTCGAACTCGGCGCGGTTTTCTTTGCCGAGGCGATGTTTTTTTTGCCTATTCATACTCCAAGGTGACATAAACGTACTTCCCCCTTTTTTTTATTTCCTGTTCTTCGGTTTCTGACTGTTGGCGCCTCTTCAGTTGGGGCCCGTTTTCAAATCCCTCCTTTGGCACTTTCGGATTTCGACACTTGGCGCCATCCGACATTCTGGTGCCCAGACTTTCGATTCTCAGTTCAGTCCTGAGGCAATTGCACTTCTGCCCTCCGGACTGAACTTGAGTCCGGTACTTAAGACCGGACTCAAGGCCAGTACGGGCATTCAGTTTTCGGCTTCAGTGCTGTGCTTCAGTGTGACTTGCTTCCACATTGTGTTTGGGAATCGAAGACTGCGACTTTGCGACTTCGCCACTTCGTGTATGCGTCCGTCGAGTCTTGTCGAGTCTGCATCCAGTTGTCAATCAGCGAGTGTGTGTGTGTGCTCTCACCCTCTCCTCTCTCTTCCTCAGCCTCGCCACTCTGCCTCTGCCTCTGCCTCGTCACACTGGTATCGGAGCGGTTCAAACCCGCCCGACCCACCCTGCTTCGTCGTCATCACCTGGCCATCATCAGCATCATCGTCGTGATCGTAGTCGTAGTGCCACGTCATCGTCGTGATCTTCGCCGTCGTGCCACGTCATCATCGTCATCATCGCGATCATCGTTGTCATGCCATGTCACCATCGCCGTTCCCGTCGTCCTCGTCGCCCCGCTGTGCCATCCTCATCATCGTCGTTCCTACCTCCACACATATAACTAATCAACAACAATTTTTGTTATTTTTCTTTTTTTTTTTCTTTTCTTCTTCCTCTTCTTCTTCCAATTATCTTCTTCTTCTTCTTTCTCTTCGTTCTTTTCTTCTTCTTGTCTTCTTCTTCTTCCTTCTCTTCGTTCTTTTCTTCTTCTTATCTTCTTCTTCTTCTTCGTCGCAACTCCGCTCCCGCTCCCACGCAAGCTCCCCTCCCCGACTCTCGATCTCCCCCCTCCCCCCC